AGAGCCCAGGGACCAGGAGAGATGGGCTACATATCAGCAAATGGTACACATTTGTTGGATATTGGAATCAGGTTATACATTTTTTTAAACACCATGACAGAATAAAATACGAGGACATATTTGGAAGATCAATGTGGTTAAATGCTTAGCTACTAAGTGAAAGGTTGATATTTGGAATTCATCCAGAGGTTCCTTAGAAAAAGGCCTGGTTACCTACTTCTGAAAAATCACAGCCATTATGAAACTTACGGAGTTCTGCTCTGTTCCATTCTACTCTGAAATGGGGTCAACATGACTTGGAATAAACTCTATGGCAACTTTTTTTTTTTTTTTAATGTAAGTACTTATACTTCAATTTTAAAGAAATCATTGCTTTTTAGGACAAGTAGAATGTGAATTACCTAAAGTACAAGATACGAAGTCTTGGATGTTTTAATTATTTTTAAGTTTAATGTATCTTCAGTTTCTTTTGGTTGCCACAGAACTCCTCACAGTTTCCCCAACACACACATGCATGCACACATGCGGGTGTGCACACATGTGTGCTTTGACATCCTGGACTACATTGAGAGGTATACTGATGATGTATTTAGAGGAGAGCAACCAAGTTGAGAGACTTCAGAACCATTTCATAAAAGGAACATCTGGAGGATGTGGAAACAGTGCAAAAGCAGCATCTGGACAGATGTGAAGATGGTTGGGCACTCTCAAGAATTATTGGGCTTGAAAGGACCTCAGGGAGATGGGCTTCAATGAGGATGTCTTCCTTTCTCTGGGAGAAGCCCAGGGAAGTTCTGCTTTCAGTATAAAGCTCTACCCTTTCCTTATTCCAGAAAGGACCCTCAGCGCGAGAGCTGGTCTACCCCTCAGGTCTGCTTAATTCTGTTCACGATTAAAAGACTATGACGTGGCAAACACCCAGCAGGAAGTCCCCTTGCATAGTGGTTGTCCTACTGCCTAGAAGAGCCAATGGACTTCAGGAGAGAGATTCTACAATTTCCATACTCAACAACATTGTGCACAAATATTATTATAGCAAGAGATACTGTTTGCACTGTTTTTTTTTTTATTGCCATATAACATTTTCTCTTGTTCAACCAAAACCTTAATGAAATGTGGATGAGCTTTCTGCCTGTGTCTATATATTTTATTTATTTAAATTCTATTTTAGACTACCCTTCTGTTTCCTTCTCTGGAATACTTAGAATACTCTAGAATACTTCTCTAGAACCACCCTGTTTTGTCTACTTATAAATCAGCTAAGGTGGAATTATGAAACCTCTAATAAAGTTTTTTCCATCTCCCGAGCATCCTCCTGGGTCACTCTTCCCCATTATCTTTGACACGAGGGTTCTGAGAATGAAACTTCAAGCGAATCTTGACCCACAGGAAGCAAAATTAGGAAATTTGTCATTCTCTAGAAGTAGAACCTGATTTTCATTAGCAATAGAAATTGTCTTTGGATTGATCATTGTTTTAGTGATCCACCTAAATGTGATACTTCCACATACTTCGCATAAATATATCAACACAAATTAAGGGTGGCTGTGCTTTAAGTCTCTTCACATCAGTACTGATTTCCTGAAGACCCTGCTTACTTGTAGTTATTTTATTCCATGGCCTTTGAAGATATACACACCAGAGCAGATGCAGTCCTGACTAAGAACAAGTCTTTTTCTTGCTCTAAAATTATTTTAGGGAACTTAAGTATCTATTTAATGAGCCCTTGTGGTGTAGTAGTTAAGTGCTCAGCTGCTAAATGTAGGGTAGACAGTTCAAACACACCAGCTGCTCCATGAGAGAAAGAAGGAATGTGCTTCCATGAATATTACAGCTTTGGAAACCCTTTAAGGCAGTTTGCTCCATCTTAGAGGGTTGCTATGAGTCAGAATTGACTCAATGGTAATGAGTAAATATTTATTTAACTTTGAGAGCTTAGTGCAAATTATCACCAAGGAGAAGGCTGCCATCTAAACTCCAAGCTGACATATGGAGCTCTGATTGTGCAGTGCGTAAAGCATTTCACTACTAACCAGAAGGTTGGCAGTTCAAACCCACCAGCTGTTCTGCAGGAGGAAGATGAGTCAATCTACTTCTGTAAAGATTTAAAGCCTTGGAAGCCCAATAACGGTTGCTATGAGTTGGAGCTGAATATATACACAAACTCACTGCCATTGAATTGTTTCCAACTCATAGCGACCCCTCCTTGGGTTTCCAAGGTGGTATCACTATGGAAGTAGATTGCCCAATCTTCCTTCCAAGGAGTGGCTGGTGGGTTTCAACTGCCAGTCTTCTGGTTAGCAGTCAAGTGCCTTAGGCACTATGCCACCAGTGTGTGTGTGTGTGTGTGTGTGTGTGTGTATGTATGATATATGATATATTACATATGTATTACGTGTATATATATATATATATATATATATATATATACATGAGTTGAGAAACAGACCACTGAAAACCTTATCAAATGCAACATTAACCACTGTGAGTTGTGCTAACAAAGGGTGCTTTCTTCCATATAAAAGTAGTTTACTCATTCAGTGAAGAATTCTTAACTAAATACCATATACCAGACATTATCTTAGGTTTTGAGGCAGAGCAGTAAACAAAATACACAAAATCCCTAACTTTGTGGCATTTACAATCTAGTAGAATGGCAGAGAATAAACTAATAAAAGAATTGTCAGATGTCAATAAATGCAATGGAGAGAAATAATCATGGAGGTGGAGGTATTATGAGGTATTCCTACTATGTATTATGTGGTATCTTAGTGCCTAAGGCATTTGACTGCTAACCAGAAGGCTGGCGGTTCAAACCCACCAGCCACTCCTCGGAAGGAAGATTGGGCAATCTACTTCCATAGTGATATTGCCTCGGAAACCCAAGGAGGGGTCGCTATGAGTCGGGTCCAACTCGATAGCAAACAACAACAATAAACATTATGTGGTAAGGGAAGGCCTTTCTGACAAAGTGCTTTTGAACTGAGACCAGAAGGAAGTTGAAGGACAAGGCATACAGATATGTGGGAGAAAAGCATCTCAGGCAAAGGGGACAGGAAGTCCAAAGACTCTGAGGCAGGAATGTGGTTGGAGTGGATCAGCAAGGTGGCTTTGGGGTTTAAGCAGAGTGAGCAAAGGGAAAAATAGCAGGAGATGAGATCTGAGAGACAGTAGGGGGATGGATCAAAATAAGGACTTGAGCTGGACTTCATGAGACAGGATGCCAGTAGAAGGTTGGTTCAGAAGGAAGGCATGAATTGACCTGCAATTAACTCTCTCTGGCTGATGGCATAGTGCCTAAGGCATTTGACTGCTAACTAGGAGGCTGGTGGCTCAAACCCACCAGCCACTCCTCAGAAGGAAGATTGGGCAATCTCCTTCTGTAGAGATACTGCCTCAGAAACCCAAGGAGGGGTCGCAGTGAGTTGAATCTGCTAGATGGCAGTGAGCTTTTTTTTTTTTTTTTTTGGCTGCTGTAGTTAGAACAGCCTGTAGGGGGAGCAAGAGCAAAAGCAGGAGGACCTGGTAGGAGTTCACTGAAAAAATCCAGGCAAGAGATGGTAGTGGCTTGAACTATACTTCTTGCGGCCTAGGGGTGAGGAGGATTGCATTCAGAAAACATAATGAAGATACAGCCTGTTTTCCTGATGAATAGGAGGTAGGGTATGAGAGAATGGGTACGAGAGAGGTAAGCCAAGGATGAGTTGGAAGGTTTTTGGCCTGAATAATAGGAAGAAGAGTTGCCTGAAATGGGGAAGGAAGGCTCTGGGAAGAGCAGGTTTGAAGTTGAAAAATCAAGGATTCAAATTTGAACATGTAGAGCTTCAGGAGTCCTTGAGTGGTGCAAATGGTTAACACATTCAGCTGTTAACTGGAAGGTTGGAGGTTTGAGTCCACCTTGAGGTACTTCAGAAAAGCCTGGAGATCCACTTCCAGGAACTCAGCCATTAAAGACCCCACAGAGCACAGTCCTCAGGTCCACATGGGGCACCACGAGGAGCTGACACAACGACACCTCATTTTAATATGTTTAATAGCTACCCATGAAGCGGACAGTAAGACAAACTTGGAGTTTGGGGAGGGATAGAAATTTTAGCATTGTCAGCATCTATAATACCTATAAAACAATGGAAACGTGTAAGATCATCCAGGACTGACTGCAGGCCTGGGGCCCTCCAATGTTTCATGGTCCAGGAGGAGAGGAGGACCCACAAGGAATCCTCCGAAGCAGAGGAAACTCAGAGTCTCACAGAAGCCAAGTCACTGAGAACACATTATTGCTCACTTTTTTTTGGTTAACACTTTCTTGAGATAAGTATCATTGAGTCATTACCTTATACTAGTAAAAAGATGCAACTGTATGAGTGTGTAGATCTATAAAAGAAACATTATATTCTATTAATATAGCATTATGAATAGATGCTAGCAGTGTGTCTATTCTAGCATTGCAAAAATGCATTCTTCTCCTCCACAGCTGGGATAAAAGCCTTGAATTTTTCTACATGTACCAAGACCTATAAAATTTATATAACAGTACTGCCCTGAGGTGCAGTCTTGGGGCAGTTTTCACCTATTATCTGCCTAATGTGGGTCATTCTCACTGAGAATGTTCTTGATTTATCTGTATGTTTCTTTTGCATATATTGTTCTGATATCCTCTGTTTTCAGAACCACTTCAAAATCCATAGAATTGTACTTTGATTTTCACTCCTTTTCTTTAATACTTATTATAGAATATCCTCTAGGTTAAGGCAGGCCCCTTTTCAGTGCCCTTCATAACCAGGGAAGGGTCATTTCTACCCTGACTATACTGACAACAGTAAAATATACAAGCATCATGTTCATGTTCAATGTTTGGAAGATTCATTGTCAACTTGACACAAGTGCTTTATAAAATCAAAGCACTGACACAGACATCATAGATTGTTACAAAGATAAAGAGGAGGTTGGAGAATATTTATAAATCAGCTACTTTGAAGACAAAGTGGGACCAAATCCTTTCTTTTGACTTCATTTCTTTTCCTCTGTGAGTCTTGAAGGAGATCTCTCTTCATCACTTCCTGGTACACGTTCTCTCCTCTGGAGAATTATTTTAATATCCTAAGAGAAAAAAATCAAAGAGAATTTATAGACATTAATAACTAATTTAGGATTAATTTCATTTCATACGTGGCAGTGATCAAATAATGAGTTTGCTTTTTTTTTTTTCCTTTGAGAGAGCTCTTTGGCATTTAGCTTGAATCCTGTCCTGCAACTTTCAGTTGCATTGTTAGAAAGGTACCTAAGACCTCAAGCCTCGGTTCCATCTGTAATGCAGTTATTGTCAGATCACATTAAATGACATCATCAAAGGGATTACACAGTCTGGTGCAAAATGAACAAACCAAAAGATTAGCTGGTTTCCTATTAATGAGTGAAAAAAAAAAAAAAAAAAAAACACTTCACTTTCTATTAAAGGAAAATTCTAATGCTGAATTAATAAGGTCCGTATATTTGTAAAATTTTAGAACAGCAGATTATTTCTAGGATTGTTTATTTTCTACATTTTTTTAAAAAATTTATTTGGCGTAGAATGGTCTCCTTTTCATCTGCTTCAAACACCTAGGTATCTTACACACTTTATATCACAAAGAGTTTCCAAATCCCAAAACAAATTTTTTAAATTATCACAATGTATAAAGGGTGCAAACACAGATGTAAGATGTAGAATTACATTTTCTGTAGCTTTTAGGGTTTTTTATTTCACAAATTTAGGGAAGTGCTTTAGGAATATAAGTTTTCTTTCTTCAGAGCTGAGTTCCAGAGGTTTCAGTTTGACTGTGGTCCTTTTACTCATGCAGACGTAAGCTAGTTCACTATCTGAGCTGACAGCTGCTAAGGGACATTACACATTGCATCTATCCACCGCTGATGGGAATCACAGTCAGTTGTTTTCCTGAGGGAACTTGCTGTTTGGAAACACTGATGTTCTATAGCCAAAGGTCAACTCTGAGTGAATCATGTAGAAAAGAACAGCTGGTCATCATTGACCTTCCAAGTCCTTCCCACTGCAACCGCAACACCATGCCTTTTCTAAATAATACTATATTTATAATAACTAATACTAAGCATTGAAAGTTAACTTGGTGATTAGAAATGAGCTGACCTGTGAATAACTGATACTCCATGTTGTTGTTGTTGATAGGCGCTGTTGGGTTGGCTCCAACTCATAGCAACCTTATGGACAACAGAATGAAACATGCCCAGTCCTGTGCCAGCCTCACAATCCTTGCTATGCCTGATCCCATTGTTGCAGGCACTGTGCCAGTCCACCTCATTGAGGGCCTTCCCCTTCTTCGCTGACCCTCCACTTTACCAAGCGTGATATCCTTCTCCAGGAAATTGTCCCTTCTTACAACATGACCAAAGTAGGTCAAACAAAGTCTGGCCATTCTCACTTCCAAGAAGCATTCTGGCTGCACTTCTTCCAAGATCTGTTTGTTGTTTTGGCAGTCTAGGATACTTTCAGTATTCTTCTTCAACGTCACAACTCAAAAGCATCAACTCTTCTTTGGTCTTCTCTATTCTTTGTCCAGCTCTCATATTCATATGAGACCATTTAAAATACCATGGCTTGGGTCAGGAGTACCCTAGTCTTCAAGGAGACATTTCGCTCTTCAGCACTTGAAACAGGTCTTTTGCAGCAGAGTTGCCCAGTGGAATACATTGTCTCATGTCCTGAATGCTGCTTCCATTGGTGTTGACTGCAGAGACAGGTAATATGAAATCTTCCACAACTTCAGTCTTTTCTCCATTTATTGTGATGCTGCTTATAGGTACAGTTGTGAGGATTTTCATTTTCTTTATATTGAGATGTAATCTATACTGCTCACTGAAGTCTTTAATATTCATCAGTAAGTACTTCAAGTCATCTTCACTTTCAGCAAGCAAAGCTGTGTCATCTGCGTCTTGCAGGTTGTTTATGAGTTGTCCTCCGATCCTGATGCCACATTCTTCTTCATCGCCTCTTTCCACAGATATAGTTAATCTGATTCCTGTGTATTCCATCTGGTGAAGTCCACGTGTATAGCCATTGTTTGTGTTGTTGAAAACAGGTATTTCCAAAACTCTATCATGTGATCTCCAGCATCATTTCTATCACCAAGGTCATATTTCCCAAACACCGGAGATTCTTCTGTATTTTCAACTTTTGCATTCCAATCCCCAGTGATAACCAACACATCTTGATTTTATGTTTGGTGAACTTCAGACTGCAGAAGTTGGTAAAAATCTGCAATTTCGATGGGTTCTGGCAAGATGGCGGACTAGGCAGAAGGATTGCACAGACCCTCTTCAACAAAGAAAAGGGAAACCAATTAAAACAGACACAGAAGATAATCTTGGACCCCTGAGCCTTGAAGGAAAGGATGCAGAATTGGACTAAACCCCAACTAGCAGAAGAATTTGCATGAAAATACCAA